CAGCGGAGGTACCGGTTTCTCTATTATGCTGACGACTCAAGTTGCATTCCACGATTTGTCCTGATTGGTTTATTTTGAATCGTGGAAAGTTTCTAGAAAGTTGTTTCTTACGGTACGCTCCGTAAAACACGCAAACTATCATTAACACAAAAAAGATCAAAACTGGGGCTATAATCCAATATGAATTTCCATCATCCAATTTGAGCACACACTTCCCATCTTTACAGGTCTCCGTTACTCCGCAGTCACTGTCCTCTACGCATTTTTTAAGATAGTAGGTAAAGGGTTCGTGAGTCTTGGTAGCTAACGAGGAGAGGTGTGGGACAGCTGATGAGACTGAATCTCTGAGTTTACAGCTCATTTCACTACACCGCTCCCAAGGGCTGCAGTCACTGTCGGCTTGACATGTACAGGACGTAATATATTTTTGTCCTTGTGCTGTGCCAACGACTGCGACAGTTTTAGCACAGTTCCTTGTTGCACAACATTTGCCGTTGCTACACTCAGAATCTGAGTCGCATGACTGCGATCGAACACCAGCAATGCGCGAGCAAATCAGCGCCAGACTTAACCAAAGCGAACTGTTCACGTACATTCGATACTTCCGAGGTCTCCGAAATAAAATAAAATCTGCTGAATACTAACTACTATTCAGCAACAATTGAACATCAAATACTTTTGAATTGCTTATCTTGAACGCGTCATAACTGCGAGCATAGACGTGATGTGACATGCGTGACGTCACTTGCGTGGAATCAAGCTACCGATCACGTTGGTCTACTGTACATGAAGACTGACACGTCTGCATAGTCTCTTTTGATATTAACGAAAACTTAGGAATGAATGAAATTTTAACGTTGTAAAACGTGGTTCAAGAGCGTAAATTTGGCAAAACAATTAAGAAAAATTCAGCATCAAGCTCAAGCCTTTGGGCGTTATTATTCCATTTTGAGTATTTAACTGAAGAGGCATAAGCGTGATGGAGTCAGATTGAAGTTTAAAGACAACAAGAATTTAAACCTTGCATATTTACAGAATAAATGACGCCTCCATCCAGGTTGAATTTATCCGCTATTTATTTTCCTCCAAAGCGCTGTAAATAAATCAACGACGAGATTATTCCAGTTTTTGGTCTAAATCTAATAATCTAATTATGGTCTGTAATCTAAAATGCCACTTCATACCTTCACTTTCATATCACCAAAAATAGAACGTTTTCACATGACGTCACGGCCGCCATATTGGTGTTCCAAACCAGTCCTGTGGGAGTTGATCTCTTTTCTTATGTAATTTAATAAATTTGCATAGATGCTGGTCACGTGAGTGAAAACGCTCTATTCCTTTTCTCCCATTCCCTCTCGAAGTAGCCTGTGACCGCAGACGTATTTCCGGTCGTCGTTGCTCTCCCTCCCAAAGGAGAGAAACGAAGACCGGAAATACGTCTGCGGTCGCAGACTTCGCTCGAAGTGAACGTTTAGAGAACGAATGAGATCGAACAAGTTAGGGCTAGTTTAATCAAAGTGACAAGGAAAGATGTTTAAAAAGTCAACCAACGATTTTAAGACAATAGATACGATTTAGAGTCACGTTTGCGGAAAATATAATAATAATAATAATAATAATAATAATAATAATAATGGTTTATTAACACTGTTTAAGTACATCAATTACAATTAAAAATAAATCAAATTAAGTTATTTACAAATTATGCAATATACAATTAAAAGTAGAAGCAGCATTAACAGAATCGAAATTACAGTAAAACTAACTAATCTCTCTGTACTCTGTTACATAAAAAATTCCTTGAAAGTCTTAAGAAGGTTCTGTAATCCTTACAGTTTCTAATAGTTTCTGGTAGATTCTTAAATAGCTTCGACGCATTATCTTGGAAAGTGCCGTTTTCGGTCGGGACCACTAATCTAATTGAATTGCTTGAGCATCAGAGTCAAATAGTCAACAGCTTGTCAAAATAGAAAATGAGCAGATAATAACAGCGCAAAACAATTCTTATGGATAAATGAAAGCAGGTGTGGATCTACTGATTTCCATGTAGTCATAATGAACAGTGAACGACAAGTAAAGGGAAAACTTGGTCACGTGGTACAAATTGCTGTGAACGTGACTCTAAATCTCTTTATACTTCTTCCACTACCACAGGTGACCCAAGCGTAATACCAGAGTGTATGGCAAAGGAAACTTGCATTAAACCGTCTGGTCAGATGATGTTATAGGGCTTAAATCGCGCAGAAACATCATAGAAAGAAAGGCAAAGACACCTGGGCCCGGTTCCTAGAAAGATGGTTAAGTTTAACCCAGGATTAAGTCAAATTTTAAGCAAAGTCTTCTTGCCTAANCATTAACAGAATCGAAATTACAGTAAAACTAACTAATCTCTCTGTACTCTGTTACATAAAAAATTCCTTGAAAGTCTTAAGAAGGTTCTGTAATCCTTACAGTTTCTAATAGTTTCTGGTAGATTCTTAAATAGCTTCGACGCATTATCTTGGAAAGTGCCGTTTTCGGTCGGGACCACTAATCTAATTGAATTGCTTGAGCATCAGAGTCAAATAGTCAACAGCTTGTCAAAATAGAAAATGAGCAGATAATAACAGCGCAAAACAATTCTTATGGATAAATGAAAGCAGGTGTGGATCTACTGATTTCCATGTAGTCATAATGAACAGTGAACGACAAGTAAAGGGAAAACTTGGTCACGTGGTACAAATTGCTGTGAACGTGACTCTAAATCTCTTTACACTTCTTCCACTACCACAGGTGACCCAAGCGTAATACCAGAGTGTATGGCAAAGGAAACTTGCATTAAACCGTCTGGTCAGATGATGTTATAGGGCTTAAATCGCGCAGAAACATCATAGAAAGAAAGGCAAAGACACCTGGGCCCGGTTCCTCGAAAGATGGTTAAGTTTAACCCAGGATTAAGTCAAATTTTAAGCAAAGTCTTCTTGCCTAAGAACATGCAACTCAAGCTTATAAAATGCTGTTGAGCTTTTACTCCGAGATACGGTAATCAGATTACACAAAATGTTACCCTTAGCAATACAAAGAAATTAAGGTAAAATACAAAAAAGGAACAAAATTTTAATCTTGGATTAGCGCTAATCGGCCTTTCAGGAACCGGGCCCAGGTAACCATATTTTATCCATTTTAGTTCATTATTTGACGTAAGTTTTATTTTCCGTTCAAACTCTTTATTTACCATACAAACTATCATATCACGCTTGGACCATCTGTGCCCACTACCCCAAAATTGAGCACTGTGTAAAGAGAAATAAAAAATTGAAACATTTTATTACCGTAAATCCCCTATTAAAGTCTCCCAGGAGCTTATTTATATCAAGCCGATTTGAGGGGAGCTTAATGGAGATGGGGGGCTTATTTAATTTAGAAAAGACAATGGTACGAGTTTTCCATAAAGACCAAGAATGCGATGGGGAAAAGCTCAAGTACAAGAAGGTTGCATATCATGCAGTCGAGGATCAGAGTCAAATCTGAACTTCCAGTTGGTAAATAAACTATCCTGAATCTGTCCACATGAAGTTAAACCGTGGACTGATAAATACGGTCTATCATTTATTAGTTAAGAATAATTAAGGGGGGAGGGGGGCTTAATAGAGACAGGGGGCTTATCAACTTTCTTCCCCTGAAAAGGGGGGGGGGGCTAATTAGAGGGGGGGGGGTAATTTAAGAGGGGGGGATTAAAAGAGGATTTACGGTATTTGAACAAACCAACCGAATTGCAAAGTCACCTTATAGTCAAAAAACAAAAAAGCCAAAATATAGGAAAAGTCGACCTGACCAATATTGACCAGCAGGCCATTACTAAATCATTTTTTAAAAATGGAACAATGTGTAGCATGAAATTTTTCCAATTTTTTTTTACCCTTTTTTAATTTTAAAAAATTTAACACCCGAAACTCACTAAAAGCAATGTCTCAATCTCTAACTCTGTTAAACTCAGGACACTTTCATAACAACTGTAATCAAATGCCAAAATTGCTGACTCCAATGGAAAGCATGTATTACATACTGTATTTCATCTGCTTAGCCCCACACTCCCCAACCCCTCCACCCCAAACAAAAATTTTAATAGGGGTGACAAATACTTCATGCAGAAGTGACATCCAGGTTCCAGCTTTCTTTCCCCACAAACTGCTATGTTTTACACACGTTTGTTTTTTAAATTTCTGGACTTTGAAATCACTCTCTTCAGCTACACATCTATTAAAAAAATTACACAATCATAAAGAAATATTTTAGTTATAATACAATAATTAAACAAGAAAATATATTGAGCCATGCCTGCAGCCGCTTTTAAACCCTAGTCCAGAAAAAGACAGTGTAAATAAATAAGCCCAAAAGGACTAAATATAGGAAACACAGTCTTTATTCATAACATGGCTCTCTGTTCTGGTCAGATATTTTATGTGGAACGAATTTCTTTTTATACTGATGGATTTCTAATGTGCTCACTGGTCAAGTTCTATTGTCTAAGAAAGTTTAAACAATGTTCTTGATGTCACTTGCACTATGTATATGACTAGCAGTTGCCTATAATCTATCAGAATACAGACAAAAGGGTTGAAAATTGAAAATTGTTTGTTTTGGCAAACATGGAACACATTTTTAAAAAAATAATGTACATGTCAAGTTACACTGTATTTGGAGTGAACAAGCAAAAGCCTTGAAAAGGATTTCTGAAAACGAAAAGTGGAAAATGGAAAATCTGAAGATGCCTAAACTAAAGACTCAAAGTTTTGAAAATATTTATGCAATCATTATTCTGCTTTGAGCAAGTGAAGGCCTCAGAAAAAGTTCAGGTTACTGTTTTCAAGTAAGAAGAAAAGACGTATTGTATAATTTGTTAAGATACTTTTAAATTGTCAATCACCCACAGACTGAGTCCAAAAGAAGCTTGGTTCTTGCAGTTGACTCCCTGCAAATCTTCTAACAGCTTTGCTCTGACAACAAAAAGGTGTGGGCTACACCTAAAAAAAGAAGACGTTATATTAAGGACATTCTTCGAACTAAACCAAACAAATAAAAAAAGGATAAAATCCACTAACTAACACTACCTGTAGCATTTTAAACAACACCAAACACTGGGCATCAAAGTTAAGTGAACAACAGTGCATATCTATGCCACCTTACAAATATTGTTTGAGTTTCTCTGGAACAGTTCCTTGACAGTGTTCTTTAAAAGGGTTATGGGTCAGCAGCAATCTTCAAGGAAGAGCTAATTTCTACACGTACATGTACATTTACACTCAAAAAGGTAAAACATGAAAACCAGAAATACTTCTGGAGTGTTATTGAATTGCAAGAATCAGAAGCTAATCAGGTGGGAAGACAGTAAAGCACAAGCAACAACCTGAATTACATTGTGTTTTCATGGCTAGCTCACATGCTGCTCTGATTCATGGCCATAACACAAAAAACATTCCTCAAATATTTTACGTGTTTCCAGTTTTTCAGTTTGACTGGAAATATGAAGGTTGGTCATCACCCCTTTTTAGCAAACCAATAATTTATTCCGGTGTTAAGCATTTGAATCTTACCAAAGTGCCTATAAATGGGGACACTTCCAGATGATCATTTTAAATGAAGCTATCATTTCCACACTAGGATTTACAATAATTATGTTGAACTAGACAATATCACCGCTAAGTCTTAATAAAAATAGTTTTAAATTTTAGAATTATTTCACTGTTGTTTCTTCTACCTTCTACGGCCCAAATAGCAATCAACAAAGACATTGCATTTAAAACAAGAAAATAAATACATGTATGATCTTTCATTATTACCTTTGACAATTAACAATAATTGTTGAAAATTATTTTCCCTATCATTTGTATTAGAAAAATAGGAAAAAGAATAATTATGTGTGTTGATATAGTGGAAACTCTCCTAATGGACACTCATACATTTGTAAGCACACAGCTCTACTAACGGCCACCTTCACAAAACCCTGTTTTTCTTAACTTCCATTCAAAGTCTGTATTTCCACATTGATTTCACGCATTTCGCGTCGCGAGGGTGTCCACTCACAAAGGTGTATCGGGGTAAAAAAGGAAGAAACACTTTTCTTACCCGCCAACCCCAACATAAAAACTGAACTGTTGTTTTGTTTAGAGAAGAATTGCATGGATAAAACTATTTCAATAATCATAACCACCAAATGCAAAATATTAAAAACTTCACAAACATTGTTTTGCAAAATAAATACCCACTAAATTAAAACTGAAGGCAACATTGAAGAGAAATTTGAACCATAACACCTTTGGATTTTGTCCGCAGAAGATTACACTGAACTACAGTACACATCTCTGTTGATGAATCACCTCTGAGAGTGACCTGGTAATATACCGCCAGCAGAGAGTACACGGCGCCACCTTAATTAACTCATACAGTCTTCTGTTCTTTGCAGGGTAAATACAAAATACAGCTGTACACGTATGTAATCAGTTCACAGAGAACTGGTAAAATAGCCTACAGTCATGAAGTACAGATGTAACTACAAGTCACTTCGCTGTACTGTACTAAAAATCAAGAACTTGTAAGAAATACAAAACAACAATACTTCTTACATATACCTTGGGCTGCACAGAAAAATTAACTATTAATAACCTTTGGGCTGCATATTATTGTCCTGATAAAAACAATTTTCAAAGACATTCATTTTGAAAACAAATTACCTAGCAATTTTGTAGGTCTTTAGTGTCACCTCGTTTCATGACAATGATTAACTATGGAACAGCCTTGATCAATGTTGACGCACTGGTCTTGCTTTTTTAGGTGTCAAACTTAATGTATGCTCTGTAGTCAATTACTATTACAGTCCACTGAGCCTTTTTTGTCATCAGAACCTACATAATGTATGTAGACTGCAGTTCATTATAAAAATATGCAGTGCAACTCAGAAAATAAAAAACAATTTGTTTGCGGCTGCAACAATTTTTTTTCTGAACTTCTTTATCAGCTTGGGACCAACAGCATTAAATGATACTGAGTGAATGAGAGCATAAGCTTAGAGAAAAATTAACAACAGTGTGTACAACAGTGTGTACAAATACAATAAGGCAAGTAAAATAATACAAAATAGAAATATTATTCACCAATGAGGGGCAGACCAAGATTTATAACATTGCTCTAGCTCTGACTTGGTAAAATACACCCCAACTTTTGGTCCAAAAGATTGAAACATATATTTTATGTCCCCAATGTGAGAAAAAAGAAAACAAAAAAAATATTATTTCAACAATGCTTCCTTAAAGGGAAGTGGCAGGTGGTTGGCGATTCTGTTCTGTAATCTATTATTTTACAGCTTACAGAATCAACAATGAAGGCTAATGAAAGAAGGTTATACTTCACTTTCATCACAAAATTCATGATCTTTGAACCTTGTTTGTTGATACTGTCAAATTACCTTACATTTTATTTCTGCAATCATTATTTTTACCATTATAAAAAACAGGGTTTTTAAAAGCAATTCATTGAAAATACATACACACTACCCTGAATTAATGCCATTATTATAATTATTATTGCTGTTCACCATTTCGTCCCATAGAGGCTAACTCACTGAGAACAATACATGTAGTTTGACAACATGCATAAAATGACCTCAACAGTTGTAAGCATGGCGACAACCTAAGTCACCTTGTGTGTGCTCCGTAATCACACAACATAGTGCTGCATGGGTAGATATTAAGAAACTTTATCTAGGAACACTGCTTTTCCTGCTTTTGTCCTTGTCTTTTTGCATTTGAAGTGTTGAGAGGTGGGAAGGAAAAAACTCTTGTGTTCAATACCACAAGTTGACACGACAGTTGTCAGTTTTAAAAGAGTAACATTGAAGTGGATATTGAGAACACTGTGAGACGAATGGTGTTAGGTTGAGCTAGCATGGTGAACTTTTTTTGACTTTCATGAGACAGACACCTTTTTTAACACAGACATTTGAGGCCAGTCCTAATGATGTCCAGCTCAAGAGTACATAAAATTAATGAAACAAACAAACCAGACAATGTGACAGACAGTGCCCCATCTAGTATATGATGAAGGAACAAAAACTGGTGCATGAACTTGGGTAGAGAGAACTCAAATGGGGAAATATGTTTGAGTACAATTATTATTGAACAGTCATGTGTACCGGTAAATGAATATACATGCAACCAGACACACATTTTACTCCCTCTTGACACCACAGATATTAAAACAAAACATACAGCGAAAAAATCTCAAACCTGCTCTTCAGACGACCTTGAGGAAGAAGTCACATGATGTTGATCATATGGTGGTGGTGATTCCACCTCCAAGTTACTGTCCAGTGTGATGGAATCATATTCAGGGGGTGGTCTTAAAGTTCTTCCGGGCAAAATAACCCTTGGTGTAGAATGTTGCCTGCACAAAGAGTAAGATTCAAAAGAGTTCCGCGAGGGCTGAGAATACAATCCACGTGAAAATCGTCGTCTTCTGTACCGTTTTAAGAAGCGATAGGATCCGTAGCCGACGACAGCGAGAAAGATCAAACCGCCCACAACGGCTGAGATTATAACAACAACATTGATATCGAAGTGAAAGCGAACTGAAAGATGGGAGGAAGCGTCCGTTGGTACAGGTATTGGTGCAGGCTTACATTGGCCAGATTCACACTCCTCGTTCTTGGAACAATCTAAATCATAACCGCAGTGAGTTCGAAAAACCAAGTCGTCCTCTTGGCACCGATTTTGAAAGCAGATTTTACCGCCGCTGCAAGAATCGTCTGAAATACAACCGCCACGGCAATTCCACCATAGCTGGCACAAGCTAGAACAACAAATACTTATCGACGAAGCGTTCAGAGAGTTACCTCTGCATTCTATGTCATCGTTGCACGCATACGTAGACAGTTTCACCTTGAAAATATTCTGAAGAACACCTAAAAGTGGCAAAACATAGAAAATGACTCTGCAATACATGCCGTGTAAACTACCATCAACTACATTCCTCTTTGAGGTTCCGCTTTGTTCCGCTGGCTTTCTTTTTTATTTTATCCGGACCCACTCTCCTCAGTCTTCTCCTCAACCTTAGTGGAGGGAGCGGCCACTTGGCAAGTTCAGGGCGGAAAAACGTAATGAGCATGCGCGAACTTTTTCGCCCAGATCCCCTGGCCGGGTTTGAAAAAATGGCGGGATTTCAAATGTTTTATTGCCTAAAAATAAAATGTTTCCACTCATAACCTGGAAAGAACAGGCAATTTGTCTTCAAAAGTTGCAAGCTGTGGTTATAACCTTGTCGTTAGTAAATTTTCTCGAAGAATACCTCATAGTAAAACGGACTTTAACGACACTGATTTCCTTGCGTTGTACTGGAAATGTGCATGCGTAGGTCCGATTTTTTTCGAGATGCATTCACAAAATGTGCTCATATAAGGAAGTTCCTGGATATATAAGGTCCGGAGCTCCACTGTGGACACAAAAACAACATATCTTTGGACAGTGATTTGCCCAAAAAANTACACAAAGGGTACGTAACTCCCGTTCTGTTAAGTTCTGTTCTGTTTGTAAATAAAGTTCTGACGCTCTTCACTTGCGACAACGGGTCTAAAAAAGGTACTGGAGTTAATGAAAATGAACACACATGTGACCCCCTTCTGTAAATATGGTTTAAAATAAAAATTTTCTCCGCACCCCGCTATTACGGACCCCAAATCGCGGTCCCGAGGGTGTCCGCTATAACGGGAGTTGACTGTATTGCTGTTCACCATTTCGTCCCATAGAGGCTAACTCGCTGAGAACAATACATGTAGTTTGACAACATGCATAAAATGACCTCAACAGTTGTAAGCATGGCGACAACCATAAGTCACCTTGTGTGTGCTCCGTAATCACACAACATAGTGCTGCATGGGTAGATATTAAGAAACTTTATCTAGGAACACTGCTTTCCCTGCTTTTGTCCTTGTCTTTTTGCGTTTGAAGTGTTGAGAGGTGGGAAGGAAAAAACTCTTGTGTTGAATCCCACAAGTTGACACGACAGTTGTCAGTTATAAAAGAGTAACATTGAAGTGGATATTGAGAACACTGTGAGACGAATGGTGTTAGGTTGAGCTAGCATGGTGAACTTTTTTTGACTTTCATGAGACAGACACCTTTTTTAACACAGACATTTGAGGCCAGTCCTAATGATGTCCAGCTTAAGAGTACATAAAATGAAACAAACAAACCAGACAATGTGACAGACAGTGCCCCATCTAGTATATGATGAAGGAACAAAAACTGGTGCATGAACTTGGGTAGAGAGAACTCAAATGGGGAAATATGTTTGAGTACAATTATTACTGAACAGTCATGTGTACCGGTAAATGAATATACATGCAACCAGACACACATTCTACTCCCCCTTGACACCACAGATATTAAAACAAAACATACAGCGAAAAAATCTCAAACCTGCTCTTCAGACGACCTTGAGGAAGAAGTCACATGATGTTGATCATATGGTGGTGGTGATTCCACCTCCAAGTTACTGTCCAGTGTGACGGAATCATATTCAGGGGGTGGTCTTAAAGTTCTTCCGGGCAAAATAACCCATGGTGTAGAATGTTGCCTGCACAAAAAGTAATATTCAAAAGAGTTCCGCGAGGGCTGAGAATACAATCCACGTGAAAATCGTCGTCTTCTGTACCGTTTTAAGAAGCGATAGGATCCGTAGCCGACGACAGCGAGAAAGATCAAACCGCCCACAACGGCTGAGATTATAACAACAACATTGATATCGAAGTGAAAGCGAACTGAAAGATGGGAGGAAGCGTCCGTTGGTACAGGTATTGGAGCAGGCTTACATTGGCCAGATTCACACTCCTCGTTCTTGGAACAATCGAAATCAGCATCGCAGGAAGCTGCCAAAAAGACTTCGTCCTCTTGGCACCGATTTTGAATGCAGATTTTACCGCCACTGCAAGAATCGTCTGAAATACAACCGTCGCGGCAATTCCACCATAACTGGCATAAGCCAGAACAACAAATACTTATAGACGAAGCGTTCAGAGAGTTACCTTTGCATTCTATGTCATCGTTGCACGCATACGCAGACAGTTTCACCTTGAAAATATTCTGAAGAACACCTAAAAGTGGCAAAACATAGAAAATGACTCTGCAATACATGCCGTGTAAACTACCATCAACTACATTCCTCTTTGAGGTTGCGCTTTGTTCCGCTGGCTTTCTTTTTTATTTTATCCGGACCCACTCTCCTCAGTCTTCTCCTCAACCTTAGTGGAGGGAGCGGCCACTTGGCAAGCGTGCAGACGTCTTTTATTTGGTTGCTGCACGTGCAAGGAATTGGAAATAAGCAGCAGATACGTAAGGGGTCGTCTGCACGTGGGCTAGCACTAGCGCCTGGTTGGGAGGGGGGGGGTACTTCCGTATAAGAGGCTAATGGGGTCGCATTTTCACGACTGATTGACTACAATGGGTCGCATTTTACTAGGATATGGTTGCACATTTTCAGATTTTTTGAGGGTAAGACAGTTCTTCATATTTAGTCTTAGCAAACGTACCAGAATGTTTGTACTGCAGAGGAAAAGTAAATTTTCTTCATTCAATCTAAAAAATGGGTCAATTCATAAAAATAACTTTTTCACACATTTGCCCAAAAGTGACTAAGATGGGGTCTACAATTGGCCACAGAATAGAATATAATAGGGTAGGGTTCTGAGAGGCCAGCGGCACAAACCCAGCAAAACAACCTCGTCCCCAGGGCTTTTCCCTTAAAAAATGGGTGGAAGCAAAAATTTACACAAGTACCGTCCCCCCCCTTCCCTGGCAGTAGCGGCCGCTGTACAAAGGAGCTCTCCTTATTCGAGGCGGAGGCCGAGGCCGACGGTATGGCTTTTGAGTCAGCTGGGCATAGATTTCAACTGTTGTGCTTGAAATAGGGCCCTTGAATTGCCTCTACAACGCAGGATAGGATAGAATTGTAGGAGAAGCTAGGCTAACTTTTATTCACCTCTTGATGAATGTGTTTCCATTGATTGGGAACCGGATTCTCAGTCAGTTCAGAAATATGACAAGACGATACTGCAGAGATGGGGACATGTTTCGGTCGAGTTTTAGCTATTAAGTAACTGACACTGAATATCCTTGATTTCAGGAAAACTAAACGGGATCGAAGGGGTCACTCGTACGATGACGGCGTCCGTTTTTACTTCCCACGGCTTAAACCCACGGCCTGAGCAGTACCTAACGTATCTGCACAACCATATAACCCAGGCAGTGGGCAGTGGCTCTTTCCACAGCTGCCACTGCCCAGTGATATAGCTGTGCGCATGCGTTAGGCATTGGCCAGCCGTGGGTTGGTCAGTGCGCGTGTGTCTTATCATTTTAAGGCTGGTCTGCCTACCTCCACAGTGAAAATAGCAAAGGGAAATCATATATGTTTTTGGATGAGGTTCCAGTTCGTTCGTTTGCAAATGTGCTCATTATCGACAGCATGCTATTGAAGCTCTCTTCAAGAAAAATTAAATCCTGGATAACATCGTCTCTTCGGCCTACGCCGGAATGCTTGTATTTCGATCGACGTTTAGCAACAACGCGGACGCTCATATTTAGAGTTTAGCTGTGATCCCGTATATAGTCTGTGGTGCAGCCGGAAGTTTCACTCAAAACCTACCTAATACAATCTTGCTACTGACCTCCGACTGTTTAGACTGTCTGTGATGTAGACTACATCTTGAGTGCTTGACCAGAAGAATTAAATTTGGTATTTTGATAAGTGGCCGCATTGGAAAGTATATTGTACAAAATTCTAGTCCTTGAAACGATCGCCTCACAAGAAAAAACACATTGAAAGTGCTGAAACGAATAAGGTTTCCACAGTATTAACTTACGCGTTTTCGTAATGCACGAGTGTCCCAAATTTTCGCAAACTGAATCTTGTTTCACATTTGAGCAAGACGTAGGGTGAAGAAGCAGCTGAAGGCGCAAAGTAGTACTTTTTCCATATATGGCATTTTCTGAGGGATCGGCTAACAATATTATTATTGTCAATTGAATAGTAACAAAAAAAATTAATATTTTGGAAAAAATTATTCCCTGAGATTAAATTAACCATACAATTTAGGATTAACCAATGCTGTTAACGTTAAGTCGAGCATCTTAAGCTAAATCGAGCTTTTCTCATGACCACCATTTGATCGTTACTTAAGTAAAAGACGTAGAAATGAAAATAAATCGAATATATTGGCCTCAACAGCTTCAGCTCAATATCGTTTTAAGCAAAACAGAAACGTGTTATTAACTTACAAAATAATATTCACTATTTATTTTTCTCCTGAATTTTTAAATACATAGGTACAGTCGTATGCAACCGGTAAATATAAACTCTC